TGGAACCATCATGGTGAAGATTTAAAAAGAATACAAAAGAAAAGCCCAGGGACTCTGCCAGTTGGCACATTGCCATTGTGGACGTTCGTATCTCGTTTGCTTAGTCCAAAGCCTTCAGTTCAGACAATGGTAGAGGAAGGAGAAGACATAATGATTCAAGTAAAAGAGAAGGTCTCTCAAGTTAGTCAGACAGAGGAAAAGATTCAAGTAAAAGAGAAGGCCTCTCAAGCTAGTCAGACAGAGAAAGAAAGTGTAAAACAGAAAAAGGCATCGGGGGAAAGTTACAACAGGAGACTGCTACTAACACCTTTCTATCACCAGAGGGTGTAAGTGTCCAACCAACAGCACCACCTCTACAGGAGACTGCTACTAACACCTTTCTATCACCAGAGGATGTAAGTGTCCAACTAACAAGGCCACCTCCATATGCTGGGAGGTCCCCAACCCCCGCAGTTGATAGTTGGGATCCTGAGACAAGATCTCAAATATTAACATGCCCTGTATTTGAGGCAGGAGGGCAGCGATTTTACCAAGTTTTAAATTTCAAAACAGTGAAGCAGCTAAAAGAGGCTGTAACAACCTATGGTCCTCAAGCACCCTTCACTGTAAGCATGGTCGAATCCATTAACAACTTGAACATGACGCCAGCAGATTGGGCTAATATGTGTAAAGCTGTGCTAAATGGAGGACAATACCTGTTATGGAAGATTGCCAATGAGGAATTTTGCAAGGAGACGGCTAGGCGAAATACAGCAGCTGGTTATCCTCAGAGAAATCTAGATATGTTGTTAGGAAAGGGACCTTATGAGGATCAGCAGCAACAAATTGCATATGATCCTGGCGTATACGCACAAATTGCTGCAGATGCAATTAAGGCATGGAAGACTTTACAAGGACATGGAGGTTTACAAGGTCAATTATCTAAGGTAATACAAGGAGCTAATGAACCTTATGCTGAATTTGTAGATAGGCTTATTCAAACAGCTACCAGAGTTTTTGGGAATACAGAACAAGCAATGCCATTACTAAAACACCTGGCTTATGAGCAAGCGAATCGTTGGTGCAGAGATATCATTAGACCATGGAAACATGAAGATTTAAACACATATATTAAATTATGTAGAGACATTAATGAACAAGAGCAAGTCGTGGCAGCTGCAGTAAAACAGGCTTTAGATGCCAGAGACATTAATGAACAAGGGCAAATTGTGGCAGCTGCAGTAAAACAGGCTTTAGATGCCAGGCCAAGAACATGCTACAATTGTGAACAAACAGGACATTTTAAAAGGAATTGCCCCATTGGAGGAGGGTTTAACAAAACTAGGTATCAAAGGAGTAGAATACCAGGTATTTGCCCACGATGCCGTAGAGGGAGACATTGGGCTAATGAATGCCGTTCTCAAACCACCATAGAGGGTACTCCATTATCAAAAAACGAACAAGGACCAGGTGTTTATCCACGATATCGTGGAGAAAGGCATCGGGCTCCATTGCCAAAAAATGGACAGGGGGGCCCAATGCTCCGGGGCCCAAAACCACAAATATACGGAGCACTGGAGGAACCCAGCAACCCCATCAGGGTAGTGCCCAGGACACATTGTCCATCAGATCCCTCATCAGACAAACCAGAGGGAGCGCAGGGTTGGACATCTGCGCCTCCGCCAGAGCAGTACTAACTCCAGAGATGGGAGTTCAAATCATTCCCACAGGGGTGAAAGGACCTCTTTCCAAAGGAACAGTAGGCTTATTATTGGGACGCAGCTCTTCTACTCTAAAAGGACTTATGATAAGTCCTGGGGTAATTGATCCCGATTATGAAGGTGAAATAAAAATTATAGCCAGTTCTCCAAAGGGTATATCAGTAATTTCACCAGGAGATAGAATAGCACAGTTACTAATAATACCCAGCCTACATGATAAATTTTCCAGTCGTACTGTAGAAAGAGGTTCCAAGGGATTAGGCTCCACAGGTGTAGATTGGGCTATGCTGTCTTTAAATTTAGATTCTCGCCCCATGCTAAAACTAAATATTCAAGGACATGAATTTAATGGGCTACTGGATACAGGTGCAGACCTTAGCATCATCTCTCTTCAAGAATGGCCAAAACATTGGCCATTACAACAAGCCACTCAAACGCTTCGAGGCCTAGGAGTGGCGACTAATCCCCATAGAAGTGCAATGGTATTAGATTGGAAGGATCCTGAAGGATGTGAAGGAACTATACAGCCATATGTATTGGATCATCTTCCCGTAAATTTATGGGGACGAGATGTCCTAGATCAATTAGGTTTGACATTAACAAATAACATCAACCAAAATGCACCCACTATTATGACTAGACAAGGTTTTAGGAAAGGAAAAAGATTAGAAAAACAAGAACAAGGTATAGCAGCACCAATACAAATAGATCAAGGAACAGACAGACATGGGTTGGATTTTCAGAAAGGGCCACTGAGACAATAAAAATTACTTGGAAATCAGAAAGACCAGTATGGGTTCCTCAGTGGCCCCTGACTAAAGAAAAGATACAAGCAGCCCATGACCTGGTCAAACAACAATTAGCGGAAGGACATACACAACCTTCTGTATAATATTGAAAAGGAAGAACAAAGTTGAAGGACTCACCCCATTTTTAGTAAACGGTACCAGGACAGATGGATCTCTACATGCAAAAAAAGAGAAGTTGGACCCGTACCTTGGCCATATACCAAAATTAAATAAAAATGGATCCAAGATCTAAATGCAAGGGCGTAAGCTATAAATTCTTAGAAGAAAGCATAGACTAGGCAAGAATTCCTTAAAAATGATACCAAAAGCACAACAAACCCAAGAAAGATATATAAATCAGACATCATCAAATTAAAATGATTTTGCTTCAAAGAAGGCCATCAAGAAAGCGAGAAGTCTGGGAGGCTGAGGCAGGAGGATTGCAAGTTTGAGGACAGTCTCAGGAACTCAGCAAGGTACTCAGCAACTTAGCAAGACCCTTTCTTAAAATAAAACATAAAAGGGCTGAGGATGTGGCTCAATGCTAAAGCACCTCTGGGGTCAATCTCTAGTGCCCAAAGAGAAAAAGAAAAAGGAAAAAGAAAGTGAGAAGACAACCCACGAATGTTTTTTTTTTTTCAAATAACATATGGGAGGTTTCTATCAAGAATACACAAAACTATGACCACTCAATAATAAAAAGACAACCTAATTTTGAAAATGGTAAAGAAGCTGAATGAACATTCCTCCAAAGAAGATATATAATAAGCACATGAGAAGATGTTCAAAATCATTAGCCCTTGGGGAAATGCAAATGAAGACCACAATAAGATAACAGTTTCTATTCACTGGAATGGAAAGAATTAAAAGCGAAATAATAATATGTGTTGGCAAGGGTATGGAGAAGTTGGAAGCCTCAAACACAGTTGTTGGGAATGTAAAATGGTTTAGTCACCTTGGAAAGCAGACTGATAGCTCCTCAAATGGCTAGACAGGGAGTTTTCATAGGCCCAGTAATTTCACTTCTAGGTATATATCTAATTGAAATTAAGACATATTCTCCATACAAAAATAGATTCATGAATGTCATAGCAACATTATTCACAATTGCCCAAAAGTAGAGTCAACCCAAATGTTCATCAACTGATGAATGGCTAAACAAAATGTGGTATATCCATTCAATGGAATATTATTTGGCAACAAAAAAGGTAATAGCGATACACACTATAGTAGGAATGAAACTTGAAAATACAACACTGAGTGAAAGAAGCCAGTCACAAAAGACCAGATATTGTATGATTTTTTAAAATATAAAATAGCTAGACTAAGCAAATACATGGAGACAGAAACCAGATTGGTGTTTGTCTAGAACTGAGGAGTTAGAAGGAAATAGTGCCTGCAAATGGGCATGTGGTCTTTCTTGTTGGAGTGATAAAGATTGCTCACAGCGATGGCTACAAAATTCTGAATGAACTAGAGTATTGACTTGGACACGTGAAATGAGTGAATTGCATCATGTGTGAATTATATCTCAATGAAGCTATTGTTCAAAGAAAGTCTACAAGGGCAAGAATGACACAGTCCCGCAGGAAAGCCAGGGACTGAGCATGACTGTTTGAGCTGTTTGGCATGCAGGCGCGCTGGCTCAACTGAAATAAAGAGGCAGTGAATTTCTCCATGTCCTGGAGCCCAATTCTGTGGCTCATGGCTCCTAACACTAATTCACTAACAACCCCCGCTGCAGGTTCTTTCTGCCTTGCTTCCCATGGGGTGGAGGAGAGGCTGGCCTGTTTCTCCACAGGCTACTAAGCGTTTGTTGTAGCAATAGCCCAGGAAGCAGCAGTAGTACGTGTTGTAATAATAGCAGTGACATGGAGCCATCACGATATGCCTGGCATTTTTCTGAAGTGGTTCACATGAGGATCCCATTTCACTCCTCACAGCAGCCCCAGGGCCTGAGGGCAGTCGTCATCCTCATTTCAGGGAAGAGAACCTTATACACAGGACAGGGAGGTGCCTTGCCCTGGGTCAGATGCCTGGGTGGGGGGAGGGTTGTTTGGGGTCTGTGTTGGGAGTCGAGGAGGAGGGAATTCACCTGCTGTCAAGGCACCACATTGGCTGAAGACAACTGTGGACTCGGGGTCCCCTGTCAGCACACAGGACCTTGAGCACATTTATACTCCAGCCGGGCAAGATTTGGGGGTGAGCCCCGCTCTCCCTAAGGACCCAGAATGTTCTCCTTCCAAAGCTCAGTATGCAATTCCAGGGAATGCTCAGGTAAGGAAAAGGGAAGACAGAAATAAATGTGGCCACTGTGGCCAGTTCACAGCCCAGACCTCAGACCAGGGTGGGGACTCATTCCTCATTTGCTCACTCACCAGCATTTACCACATGGCCTCTAACTTACGAGGAGGGACAGTTGAGCTAAGAATTGGGACTCGAGAGAGGAGTGAAGCCAGGGTTTGGTTTGGGAGTAACTCCAGGCCCAATAGATGAGGTTCGATGCAATTACCTTCACATATTGGGGGCGGGCCCTCAAACTGCAGGGAGGTTCCAAGTTTGCAGGTCAGGATTTCATTCCCCACTAAGGTAAAGCCAGGAAGACACCTGTAGCGAACGATGTCACCTGCCAAGAGAGACCAACATGGGGATGCTCTGGAGCAGTTGGACAGGGCTGTTGGGAACCCCTTAGCACCTTGAGTCCACTTCCAAGCAAGCAATCCATGGGGGGTCACTGCTGTCAGACTTCAACAACTGGCTCAACTCTAATCCAGGGCCCAGGTAACCCCTGCTTCCCTCTCACGGCTCAGCCTGGCCGGAGACATGGATATCTTCATATTCTAAGAAATCCACACTGTCTTACAGGGATTTATTTCTCAAAATAATGCTGACTTGAATCACAGAGGAAAACCACTTTCCTGGCTCCTCTTCCCGGGCATGGCAAAAAGGAAGAGGGAGGGTATTTTGGATGCAAACTCCATTGACAGACCGTCAACCCTCTTGCTCAGGGCTCTTGCTTTTCTCTCCCTAGACAGGAGAAAGAGCTGAGCCCTGCTGCCTGCCCCTCCCTCCAGCCATGGCTTGCGGTCCTTGCTATTTGGAAGGAGGTACCTACCTATGTTGAATTCTTCATTCTCAGTGACAACTTCAGCATTGGGGAGGATGGTGGGAGGTGGGCACTTGGTGAGTGGATAAGCTGAAAAGAGGAAAGAATCTGAGTCAGGCAAAAGTGTCACTGGGACACACAGTCAGTCATTCATCTGCTCAATTCCTCACTTTCTCAGGCCTTGCTCATGCACACGGTAGATATTTATTAAAATGAGTATTTATCTGTACCCGGGGCATATTTAGCCAACTACTATTTTGCTTATCTTCTGTTATGCTTTTTATTTTCTTGATATGTTTTGGGTGCAAACACCAGGAACCATCTTTCATAATTAGTAATAAAGCAGCAGCCAGCGATGGTCCTCAGTACTGAGGGAGGGGGGTATTGCTGAGCACCTTCTCTATGATGCTTCTTCTCTTTGATGCTTCTGTGTGCTGAGCCCCCTAAGTCTCATGTGGCTGATCCCCTGTGAGGTGTTCCTGCTTTACCTGTGAGCAGGTGAAATTCAGAAAGGTGAAGTTCCCTCCCCAAGGTCATGAAGGTATTAAGTGGCATTAGCAGGGCTGGAATCCAGATGTGGCTGCTCCCAAGTCCCATATTCTTTCCACCACTCTATGTCCTGAGTGTGGCTGCTGTGAGCATTGGCTGAACTTTGGCCCAACGTGGCTGACCTCAGTGGACATCCTGAGTCTTCCCCTCAGGGCAGAGGCTGGATGGCACTAAGGTGCAGGGTGGCATTCCCCAGGCAGAGGCCACTGTGGGCTTCCAACTCGGCTTTCATCCCCTGGCACATAGTTAAGTGCTATCTAAGTGTCAGCTGCCACTGCTGTTATTATTTCCAAAATTACCTCCACCCCTGCTATGTTTTTTAAAAATAGGGGTTTTAAAAACGATATAAATGTAATACATTGTGAATTTTTAAAAAGCTGAGATTTTTCTATGAAAACAGTACGAAGAAAATTAAACCCATGCATTTTCTTCTCTGAGGTATCAGTTACCTTTAACCCTAAGAACTTGGAGTATTTGTTCTCTGCATCTATAGCTATTTTTCTCTTACCACATTTGCATATGTTATATACTTTGTGCTCATCTTTGCCAAGTACCATTGCATTATAAGAATTTTCCCATATAATGAAATCTCTTCAAAAATATGATGGAAATGATATCACAGGATTTAATCATATGGATTTACTAGAATTTGTAGCACAGATTTCTAATGTTAACCACTTAGGTTTTCAAAGTTTTGCAATTTTAAAAAACTGTGATGAAATCCTGCACACAAGAATTTTTTTTAAATGATTTTTTTTAGAAACTAGGACTGATTAAAATGCATGGCCTTTTAAAAGTGCAGCATCTCCTGTTGAATGCCAAGAATGTATTCCCAGGAATCAGATGTTAACTAGGATTCCTTTTCCCGATATTTTACATGGAAAAACACAATGCATTGTACATCAAAATCCAAAAAGAAAGAAAAATACCATAAAATCCCACAGCCATTTGTTAGAATCCAAACACTTAAAACATCACTTCCTGGGCACCCAACTATTAAATGGCTGTACTAGACCAGGGTCTTGGTGCACAGCCTCACACATACTTTGTGTCCTGAACCATAAACATTCAGTGCATCCTGCAAAATTGCTGAGCTTTAAGACTTTAGGAGTTTCATGATATAAAACTCAGAGCAGAAACAAGGGCTAGAACATGAAAGCCACCGTGGGGATGTGTTCAGGACAGGTGTGCGGTGGTAGAGGACCATGGCGACGAACCGCTCCTGTGACACTTCTCACTCCACTCCACTGTGGAATCTGAGCTTCTTTCCAGATGCTCACGTGGCATGCTGTGATTTTACCAACTGCAGCTGGGAAGTAATTTGGGATGTTCCCTATGTATGGTTTTATTTAAAATGTCCTATTATGTTTGGGGGACCTCACTTTAAATTTTTATACAGTTGTGTTGGCTGAAGAGTGTCACACTGAGAGATATGTGAGCTTTATGGAGTGTAGGCATTAAAGCTCAAGAGGCGCTCTTGAGGTAGCTGAGCCTGTATAATCTTGATTTAACAGAAACCAGGAGGACCGCGTTTGCTCTTGAGGAGTGCTTCCAGTTAACTCTCCAGGAAAATTGTTCCAACTGACATATCAAGAGATGACAGTCTGTCCAACACTGAGGGCTGTCGTTTTTCTTTTGTCCAATTCACCATGTGGTGACCTATCGAGGGCTCACCTTGGGTCAGGTCCTGTGCCAAGAATACAAGGATAACAAGCAATAGTCCCTACCCACCCAGGACTCTGAGCCCACCGGGAGACAGTCATTCATTTCAATCTTTGTCAATGTGACAAAAAACCAGAACTTATTTTCTTTTAATTGGCATCTGATAACTAACAGGTTAAACACTTTTCATACACTAATAGGCTATTTGCATTTTTTCTTTTAAACTATCTATTCATATCCACCCCCCCCCCCGCCCCCAGCCTTTTTTCTTTTTTTGCACCAGGGATTGAACCCAGAGGGGCTTAACCACTGAGCAACATCCTCAACCCCTATTATTTTTTGAGACAGGGTCTCCCTAAGTTACCGAGGGCCTTGCTAAGTTGCTGAGGCTGGATTTAAACTTGCAATCTTCCTGCCCCAGCCTCTGGAGTCACTGGGATTATAGGTGTGCACCACTGTGCCTGGCTTTCTCACATTTTTTAAATGGTGCCTTATAGTCATACATACTGATGGGATTACATATTTGTACATGCACATAATGTACAAAATAACAATGTAATTTGGCCAATATCATTCTATTTATGTCTTTTGCTCCTTTTTTTCTTACAAATTTGGAGAACTCTGGATATTCAAGATTGACCTTAGCCTCTTAACTCTATTTTCACAGCTTGTCATTTGCTGAATTTTATTTATGGCACTCTTCTGATTGTAGAAGTATCATTTTTTTTTTAATTTAGACAACTATCATTTTCCTTAATAGTTTTTTTCTTAAAGTTGGTATCTTCCATTCTTAGCCTCATACTTACCTTTAAAACTTCTAAGGTATGCTTAACTTTTCCAGAAAAAAAAATCACTAAAAAATAATCTCCACTTAAACACAGCCTGGGTATGTTACAGTCTGTGGTTATTATTTGGATTGGGAGTGATTTCCCATTGCATTTTTAAAATTATTATTATTATTTAAATTACAAATTTCTGTTCCATGCAGGAAGTTTATGGAAGGCCAGAAGGAAACAAAACAAAAATTCCCCCAGTCCCCCCATCTAGGTATAATACTCTTGGCATTTTGGTGTACGACCATCAGTCTTTCATAGACATCTCCATCCCAAACCCCCCAATACACACTATTACATCAATGGTGGGGGACAGGCAAGGCTGACTCCTTTGTTTCGTTTTATGCCCACCCTTCTCCTCCTCCTTGGTGGTGAGGCACTGATTTGGGCTAGTCAGATCCTAGTACTGTTAACATGGTCACTGGAAGGCAGGTGGGATCCTTGCTTTATGTGAGCAGCTGTCCACTCAGCAGTGGCCATTGAAGCCAGTGGACACGGTACTCTTTCTTGTGTCTTTTTCTGCTTGCCCTTCTTCAGGCTGATGGGTATGCTGGACTGGCCACTGAGCCACATCCCCAGCCCTATTTTGTATTTTATTTAGAGACAGGGTCTCACTGAGTTGCTTAGCGCCTCACTTTTGCTGAGGCTGGCTTTGAACTCATGATCCTCCTGCCTCAGGGATTACAGGTGAGCACCACCATATCCGGCTAATGTGTGTTCTTTGTTTTGAGTTCTTGGCTCATCCCCCCTTGGGTGAGTATGTCCTTGAGGGACTGTTCAGATTGAGACTAGGGTAGTACTGTCATTAAGCTCCCACATCCCAACAGGTGACTGCTTCCTCCCTTCACGCATCGAGCCCCAACGTTTCCCCCCCTTACACATCTACAGAAGCGTGTCTTTTATTTTCTGCAACCCAATGCCAAATATTGGTCTGAGAATTGCCTGGATTTGGTTCCCTTATGGTAACTTTCTCAGCCTGGATTCTAGTAGATTTCTCCTACTCTCCATCCTTAGAATTTGAAAATATTGCCTGGCTATTTTTGATTTCTTCTGCTATATGGTCCACTATTCACTCTACCTATACAGATCTTCCTTCATCTCAGGAAAGTTTATTTATTTATTTATTTATTTATCTCTATTCCATTCATTTGGCTCTTTCCTTTATATATTTTTTTCCATCCTTATGCAAGATCTTTGTTCACTGGCTGGCCTGTTCACCATCTTTTCCCAATCAAGTTCAAGTCTCTGTCCTCTTCCCTCCTCCTATAGACATTTTTGAGTTTGTTCTCCACTTTTCTGAAATGTTTTTCTACAATGTAGGTTCTCCTAGCTAATTCCTGTGCTGATTTAAAATGTGCTATTGCATTTCTTTTCAACCTTATTTCTTGTTATCTAGCTCCCCTGTCAATTAACAAATTTTAACCTGAAATGGTCACAAAGGTATAGGAAAAGTTGGAACCATACTACAAAAACCTTTCATTCCATGAAATGTTTGAATGAAAGCAACTATCACGATGCCTCATAACCCTGGAATTTTTTAGTGTGTATTTCCTACAAACAAGCATATTCTCCCACATAAACACAAAATAACGATCAAAATCTGGTAATGAATATGATACATCACTGCCCTCAAATCCTTCCATCTCATGCAAGTCTCTCTGCTGGCCCCAGTAAAGTCTCAAATAGTGGAAAGATCCAGCTCAGAGTTGTGCTGTGCTAGATGTCATGTCTCTTTGGTTTCCTTTAGTCCAGTTCAGTTCTGAAGTCTTCCCTTGACCTTCATGTCTTTTCCAAGTTTGCTGAATATTCACAGTGAATTTTAGCATGCTCCTAGTTTAGGTTTGTCTGATGCTTCCTCTTGATTAGACTTGGACTGTGCGTCTTTGACTGGACCATCATGGGAGTCACGGCGGGTTCTTCTCAATTGCATTTTCTCATCCAGGGTCTGATGTCTTGTCCCACCACTGACGATGCCAACCAGGATTGCATGATCACAGTGGCACTTCTAGGCTTCTCTACCCAAAAGCGATTCTAACACAGATTGTA